AAGCCACTTTGGATTAGTGGGTCATCTGAATGACTAACTAGTTCTCTTGGTCTTTATTTTGCTCCTGTAGGAACAGCAGAAGAAAGCCGCAGCGTTACTGAGGGAGCCTAAAGCCGGTCCAGCCCTTCTGGAGGTCAAAGAGCACATCAGCTCCGTCCTGCAGCGCAGCGAAACACGCAAGACTGAACTGGACGTCCTGCTCAACCTCTACGAGTTCTACGAATCGGTAAAGAGATGTTTCTGGATTGCATTATGTTTAGTTAGCTGCATCATGTCAGCTGTTGTGATGATAATTAGTGGTCGACTGATATAGGTGTAAAATATAATTATAGACAACACAAGCACACCAACTGATGCAATTCAATTTATATTTATATTACATAATATTTACTAAAATAATTCGAAAAAAAAAATTTAAAAATTAAGCTTTTTTTAAAATCTTTTTTCTATTTTTTTATGTAGTCATTTGAACTTGTTAAATTTTTTTTTAAATGAATAGATTTATATTAGATTTAGTTATTATCATTAACTAAAACTAAGACTAAAGCATTAAACATTTCATTGCTTAAAAAAAACATTAATAAACATTAACTGAAATAAAATTAAATATTAAAAAAAGAATAATTGCCAAGGTAACAATTCTCAATTTTTTTCAGTTGATGTACTAAAATAACTAAAGATAGATTAACTAAAGCTAAAACTAAAAGAAAAGAAAAAAATGACAAAAACACTACAAAATTACTAAAACATTAACTGAAATTAAAATAATAACAGAAAATATAAAAATAAAATCTAATTTGAATTCTCAAAAAACTATAATAGTATATTAATGATACTAAAATACCTAAACTAAAACTGCAAAAAAAAAAAATTAAACCTAAATAGTATTTAAATAGTATAAATAAGTAAATAAATAAATGTAGTTTGAGTGATGAATGGAGCTCAAGCATGGTTCAGGCAGACCATGGCGTGACTGACAGATGCTTAGCTGATCGTAACTCCTCCCACTACAATTAAATAAGATATATAAGTTAATCTGTACTCACACTTGCCTCAGTCTGTCACACAGACATGCACTTACCCTCCTCCATCCCCAGCTCCTCCTTATACTGGCACATGATCACTTAGCGTCTCATCCACAGAAATCAGCTAGTCGTTGCTATCTTCTCCAGACCTGTATCACTTCAGCATGGAATTTTATATCTGTTCAATATAAAAAATTCTGGTAATTGCATTAGGCTTCGGGGGTTTCAAAGCTCAGTGAGGTTTGCTCGTGGAGAGCTCAGAATCTGAGCCCTTTGGAGCAAAGCCTGCTGCCAAAATAATGAAATAAATAAATAAAAATGACAAAAGCAAAACATGGAAAATGGAAAAGACAGTTACTAAAAATTAACTGTAGTTACTAAAAAACTAAAAACTAAAATCAGAATGAACTGAAAATATACAAATAAATCCTAATTAATCATTTAAATAAATTAGCCACGCCACTTATCAGCCAAACAGAAAAATGATGCAATAATTAAAAATGCCAAATCTCGAGCACTGCTGATCATGTGTTAAACTGTGTCTCACGCAGGCGAACCAGTGGTTGCTCCACTGTCAGGAGTATTTCTGCAAGCTAAAGCGGGACGGTAACGCGCTCGGTTTGACGCCGGCCGTGCTGCAGGTCCTGCAGGACTATCACAGCGAGGCCACAAAGTTCTCTCTGGAAAACTTCAGCTCGCTCAACCAGACGGTGCTGAAGCTGAACAGCGCGCGGGAGCAGCAGCACTGGAGCAGCGTCTGGCAGCAGTGCCAGCAAACCAGACAGCAGCTGGAGGAAATGCTGGCTGAAGCCCAAGCCCAAGACTCCGCTTCCGGTAAAACATCAGCACAGCCAGAAACATGAGTAATGCTAGAAATAATCAAACAAAAATAATCATCTTTATCTGTATTTTACTGTTGTTCTGTACAAAAAAATAATAATAATTAACATAATTGTTGTTGTTATTATTATTACTATTATTATATTTTTACTACCATTTTTTCTTTTACAGTAAAGTGTTATGTGTTAATAATATATTTTTGCATTGATGATGATGATGATTATTATTATTAATATTATTATTATTATTATTATTCAATACTCATTATTCAATTGTTATTTTAGAGAATCATGTTATTATATTAGTAATATATTTCCTAATTGATTATTATTATTATTATTATTACTATTATTATTATTGTTGTTGTTATTATTAATTTTATTAAATCCTTCACCGTCGTGTTTTGAGGATGAAGATGAGAAGCCGCATTCAGCAGGTCCGTTTTCCAGAAGCCAGTTCCCCTTCCCCTTTCCCCCGGAGAGCGGCAAGCTCTCGCCGTGTGTGTTTGAGGACACCGACAGCGACTGCACCGTCGACTCGTCCGCCTCGTGCCACTCTGAGCCCCTGATGCGCCACCGCAAGCAGCCGCTCAAGAAGATCATGAAGAAGACCCTGAGCTACGAGCTGCCGGCGCGGGACAAAGCTCACGGCTACAGCGGTGTCTACATCCGAGGACTGCAGGTCACCAATAACGTCTGCGTGGAGAAGAAGCTGCAGCGGCCAGACGTCATGAGCCCGGCACTGGGCCGCAGCCGCAGCATGTCGTCCCCGTCACGCGTTCAGTGCAGACTCAGCGACGGAGATGTCAAGAGACACAGCGGGTGAGCGATGCACAAAACCTCCAGCTTTCAGCAAACAACATTAAGACAGAGATATATATGACCCTGGAGCACAAAACCAGTCACAAGTGTCAATTTATTAAAATTGAGATTTATACATCATCTGAAAGCTGAATAAATAAGCTTTCCATTGATGTATGGTTTGTATAATATTTGGCCGAGATACGACTATTTGAAAATCTGAAATCTGAGGGTGCAAAAAAATCTAAATATTGAGAAAATCATCTTTAAAGTTGTCCAAATGAAGTTCTTAGCAATGCATATTACTAATCAAAAATTAAGTTTTGATATATTTACGGTAGGAAATTTACAAAATATCTTCATGGAACATGATCTTTACTTAATATCCTAATGATTTTTGGCAAATCTATCATTTTGACCCATACAATGTATTTTTGGCTATTGCTACAAATATACCCCAGCTCCAGGGTCACAAATATTAGTGATAATTATAAATAATAATAATAATGAAATAAAAATAATGATAAATCAAACATAAATAATAATTATTTTATTTGTATTTTTACTGTTGTTCTCTGAAACATAAATTAGTATTATTATTAATACTAATAATAATAACAATAATAACAATTATTATTATTATTATTATAATCAACATTATTATTATTAAGAAATGCTCATTTTTATTTTATAATGTCGTATTATTACTATGCTATAATATATTTCTTTGTTTAATTTTTTATAATTAAATAAATAGTTATTTTATTCAATAAAATAAAAGACAACTTTAAATATTGGTAATTATAGTAAATAATGGAGATAATTAAACATAAATAATAGTAGTAGTACTTATTTGTATTTTTACTGTTTAAGTAATAATAATAACAATGATAATAAAATATATTTTTAGCAAATACTTGATTTTTAAAAATTCCAGTATAGTATTATTAGTGTAGAAATAGATTTTTTTATTGATTTGTTTAATTTTTTATTACTTAATAAAATAATAAAATAACTATTATTAAATGTTCATTTGTATTTTACAGTATATTATTATTTTAGTAATGCGATTAATATCAATTACTTTATTGATTTGTTTAGTTTTTGGAATGTTTATAATTTGATGAATGAACCATTATAATTTAATAAACATGAGGATGATAATAATAATAATAGCAATAATTTATTAATAAGTAAATTGTATTATTATTATTAATCTAATTATTAAAAATATTTCAGATTTGTGTATAATTTAATTAAAAAATTATGATAATGATAAAGACAGACATGAATATTAGTAATATTAAATAATAGTGAATAATATAGATAATTAAACATTAAATGATAGTAATTATTTGTATTTGTTTCTGTTTTTCTGCAAAAATTATAATAATTAACATAATATCTTATTTTTTAAAATAAATTCTAGTTTTTTTATTTTATTATATAGTATTACTGCTTATATTATTATTGATTTGTTTAATTGTAATAATTTAATACAATTATAAAACTGTGAATGTGGCCTGAGAACTGAACTGAAATAGAGAGAGATTTTTAAACTGTATATGGTCTATAAGTTTTTCTTTTATGCTGCCCTCATGCTAAAGTTGACCATAAATCCACATTTTAATGCATGACTGAACTGCCTTATTCAGTATTTTTGGCTATTGCTACAAATATACCCCAGCTCCAGGGTCACAAATATTAGTGATAATTATAAATAATAATAATAATGAAATAAAAATAATGATAAATCAAACATAAATAATAATTATTTTATTTGTATTTTTACTGTTGTTCTCTGAAACATAAATTAGTATTATTATTAATACTAATAATAATAACAATAATAACAATTATTATTATTATTATTATAATCAACATTATTATTATTAAGAAATGCTCATTTTTATTTTATAATGTCGTATTATTACTATGCTATAATATATTTCTTTGTTTAATTTTTTATAATTAAATAAATAGTTATTTTATTCAATAAAATAAAAGACAACTTTAAATATTGGTAATTATAGTAAATAATGGAGATAATTAAACATAAATAATAGTA